TCAAGTCAAAGTGAACGTTTGTGCCAAATTTGAAGCAAATTCCCTCACAGAATTCTTGTGATGTAGTTTTCACAATGATGGGACCCGGGCTGGCTTAGTCCAACGATTATTTCAGTACACCTGCATCTCTACATCCTTACTTTGTTCACTTTCTTTAACCTGTATTCAGTCTTTGTGCTACATTGCTAGGCTGCTGGATGTTGCCTTATTTTGATGCCTGGGAATGAGAGCAGTTTTGATCTAACTCTAACAGGAAGAAAGCAAATAAGCATATTTCCTAAAATAGGAATTTCATTTAAACAATTGAATACCTGTGCATGCATGTGTGGTTATATTCAGATTAATGCCTATACATTTATTTTTCCATTGTGTAGAATAAATAAATAATAAATATTACATTTAAAATAAGATACAGATCAAGTGTTGTGCCAAGTATGAGGACAGTGAGAGCAAGGACAGGTTAAATTGGACATCCGATCCCACAGAAGACCTTCAATAACTAAGTGGCATGCATTGTTAATTCCAAGTGGTGTTTACTTCAACTTTCAACTTTAATAGGATTATAAAACTGAATTTCCAAATGAACTTTACAATGCGGTAACAAGAGTGAGGGTTACTGGTATGCTTGAAGATTTTATATCACACCGTCTGTGTCTGTCATCCAGTAGGAAGCAGCTTGGAAATGTTCCCTGTGCTGGTGCCCTGACCTTTGCCTGACTCACAAACAGAGGCTTTCGAAATGTTGTGTGTGTATGTAGGGAATGTGCGTGCGTGGAAAGGAGAGGTTGGAGGGTCAGAAGGAGCATTAATGAAAGTGGAAAGTGAGAGAGAGATGAGTGACAGACAGTCCACTGAGATTCGTCTTTTGGCCGTCCATTACTCCAACAGTGAACAGTGATGCACTGTGATGTTACCTGTACTCATTGCAGCACTGATTCCTCAGTAATGTCATATTCTATTGCATAAAGCTTCCTGTCAGAAGGTAGTCCAAACTTAGAAACCATTAGTTTTACATGGCATTTGTACTTTTAGTAATAACAATAATACATCAGATTTATATAGCACTTTTCAAACCTATCAAAGAGACTTTACATAATTTAGGATAAAATAAGGAAACAATCAACAAATGCTTTAATACAAATAAAGAAAATAGTAATAAAAATAATAATAATTAAAAATGTGGAGTGGTAATGAGTTCCACAGAGAGGGGGTGGCGACTGAAAACGCCCTGTCACCCCAGGCTCTGCGCTTGGTCCTAGAGACATGAAGGTGGTCGGCATCAGTAGATCTGAGGCATCGGGTGGGGGTGTTCTGGTGGAGGAGGTCGGGGAGGTAGTGGGGAGCCAGTTTGTTGAGGGTCTTGTTAGTGGTGAGTAGAATCTTGACATTTATCCTGTATTTTACTGGGAGCCAGTGGAGGTCATGGAGGACTGGGGTGATGCGATCAGTTGAGCAGGTACTGGTGAGTAGGAGGGTTATCTCTGAGAGTTGATTTTATGTCAACTTAAAAATAAGATTATGTTCATCGTTGTGTGAATTGGAGAAGGTTTATCATGTCTGTGTTGTTTTAATTTTAGTTTCCTTGCATTTGATTCCAGCCGATTTAATTAAGTTTTAACATTTGATAGCACTACTCCTGCATGAAACCGGTAATTAAATCAAATTTTTGCAGTAGGTGTTCGGTCCCCTTGATGTAGTATTTCTCTTTTTTAACCTTCTTTTTGAACCGTGGGAGTCAGCTTTTCTTTCCTTTGCCTTTATGCTACTTCAGCCTTCTGCTTCCTCTCTCCCAAATTCCCCATCCCTCTATTGTCCTCATATCATATTATGTGAACTCTCATTACAGGGGTGGTAATAGACTCTTCAGCACTAAGATCCTCTTTATTATCCGTCAACTGTAGCCTACATCTCTAAGCTGATTAGCCAGTGCTGTCTTTTCAGCATTTCAATTAGGAGCATTTTGAATAGTCAAGCAGATTGCAAGGCTTATATTCATTACTGACATTTTTAGAGCATTATGCGATGTTTAAATACAGTAATCCAAGGAACACACTGCGGCGACAAGGATGAAAGCACTTCAGAAGAGTGACATCATGGCAGATTTTAATATTGGACTCCAATGGAAATGGCAAATGTAGAGGAATTCAATTTGTGCTAAATCAATCACACTACTATCACACACACACAATCACTCATGGTATCGTTTAAAGATTTAACATGACCAATGAAATATATTTGTGTATATATATATATATTGGATCAAATAACTGTTCCTTCGAGGACAACTATAGCCTCGAACAAGATGTTTCATAATAATGAGTGTGTCGCTGTGGTTGAATTTGTCTTTGTCTGCCTCAATAGGACTGTCTGCTCTCTGTTGTCTGTAAAATGGTTAGGACTGATAGATTTGACATTTTGAGTGGTATGTTGAGAGGCAGGCTCGCTAGCTGCCACTTACAAAACTGTGCACAACAACTGCCCACGGGGCTGTGAACACCTACGTGCATAATCTCATAGTTCTTCTATCTCTGTTCTTTTCTTTATCAGATGAGCTCATAGAGCAAATGTCCCACATAGAGGATGTGATGTCTGCTGAAGAATGAGAGAAGAGGAAACGGAAGATGGGGGAATTGAAGGATGAGGTTGTGACACCTGTTACTAATGGATTTATCAATAGGAGTGGCAACATAATGAAGATCTGCTCAGAAATGTGTGTGTGTGTGTGTAAGAGAGTGTTTGAGTAAGCTCACATGTGTGTCTGGAGTGCACGCTTTTGTGATGTCATTAGCAGTTGAGCCAAAATATGATGATTTCAGGGTATTATGTGTATCTGTTTAAGATCTCTGGCTTTATAAAATACCTACTTGACACAGAAGTCACCCCTGTGACACACCCCACACACACACACACACACACACACACACACACACACACACACACACACACACACACACACAGTAATCCATTCAGTCATTGTTAATCCAGCTGTGCGTGGTCGAAGAGATGTCTGACAACCTTGTCGCTGAGGTGCTGATGTCATACCTGTCCGCAAATGTTTGTGTCATGCGTGTACCATTAAAAATTCTGAATCTATCAAGGAGAACAAACCCTGCGCTCTGCCCTTTACTGAATTTCTCTCTCAGGAGCTCATGAATGTCACAAATGCATGTGTCTCTCCGCTAAGTGACATGATGTTGTCATGTTCTGAGTTGTATTTATTTGGAGCTTAGCCTCACTTAGAGCATCGGAGAGAGGAGAACGGAAGCAGTCACGCACACACTCGAGGGTTTCTGCAGTAGTTGTTTACCATTTGCCACAGAAGAATCCTTTTCCTGGACACTTTAGCGTTGCTTGTAGAGAAAGATGAGAACGTTCTACATTTCAAATGAGATTTTCTGAGGATGCAGGTAGTTTTTGTACAGTTGTGAATTCTATCATAAGCACATGACCTCTAAACTATTGCTGTTCATGTGGGTATATTTTAAATGCTTTCACCACATTCAGATGTCAAAATAAAAAGTGCAGCATTTGGATCAAGTATTATTGGAGGTATTAAGCTACATTCACTGACTGAGTGGTAGTAGTAACTAAATCATTGGGAAGCCATTACACACAACCTAAGGCAAGGATTTACAAAAAGCTTGTGTGACCTGAGGAGTGGTTTTCCTGGAATAATGCACACATTAAAACTATCTCCCTATAGTCCTAATGGAGCAGATTTTAAGTCTTTTAAATTGGAGACCAAGGGGTATGGTGTGTTTTCATGAAACCCAGATTAGGATTTGAAAGCCTGTGGAGAGTGGTTGGCGTGGGTGTGTGCATATGTGTGGACAGAGAGAGGGATAAAGAGCAAAACACAGCAAAAGGAGAGACATCAGGAGATTTAAGACAAGGCAGACGAAAAGTAGATATCAAAGAAGTAAAGCCACGATGAAGAGATCACGGAGAAGAAGACGGAAGAGAAGTGGAGAAAAGATCCATGAGAAAGAAGAAACAATGAGATTGAGTAAAGTTTAAGCAGGTGTGAAATGAGAGGGGCATCGTAATAAAAAAATAATAATCTTGCAGGGAGGGATCACAGAAAAAATATAGAGAAATCAAAGCGAGGAAATGCAATAGGAAATAAACTAGATTGACAGATAGAGGGAAAGATACTGAGCGCTCAAACGTAGTAGAGGAGACAGCAGATGGTGGGGATTATTCTGGACTAAAATACTCTGGGATCTACAGAGGGGAGGCCACAGACATAAACCATTACAGACTCCATCTGCCAGAAATAGACCGAAAGGAGCTGTAGGTCCATCATCACCATGATGATAAAATGCTGCCTGCATGGCATTATCATAGAAAAAATAAATGGCATCCTAAACAACAGTTGACTGAATAAATGCTGCTGTGCTTCTGAGTTTGTTGAAATCAGTTGAGAGAGACAACCTGTCAAGTTATTCCCTTATACATGCAGACCACGCAAAGCTCAACACACACCAGATGTAAAAATAAAAAATAATTCAATTAAAAACTTTGCAAAACAACCATTAGCCTCTCACAGATGGCATCCATGTGGAGAAATAATATGGGACATAAACACAAATTATTTGCGGTCTTTTTTTTCTTGACGTAGCAGCAGGTGCATGTGTGCATTATTTTTAGTATTTTGGAAAGCGTTCAATGTGTTTGTGTGATTTTGACTGAAACCATAAAACACCCTGAATCCACTTTTTATATTCACTGCGATTAGTGAGAACAGCCTCTGGCACAAGCTATGGATGCGAGTGTGCAGTAAAAAGTAAAAAACAAAAAAAACAATGACAAACTGGTTCACAAATCCCACCAGTAATGCTTCTATATCCATCCACACACAACATGAACACACTCAATTACAGATACAGTCTAATGCCTGCTAATCATCCCGTCTCCCCTCGGCATGCAGAGAGAGAGGGAAGACAGTGGCTGGAGATGTGAAAAGATTTGCAGGTGTTTTTTTTTTGTTTTTTTTTTACCTTTTCCTGTGTGTAGATCAAACCTTGAACCTGAAACAAAAGAGAAGAAAACATAATTACTGTTGCGTTCTGAGGGAACATTAACAGATCATACAGTTCGCTACCACACTGATGAAGCAATTTAAAAAAGAAAGTCAACGTTAGCGTCTCGCTGTGGGCGCACAGGACCCACACTACGCTCAGCTCCTCTCTGAGGCTCGTTTCAGTCGTCCTCTGTAATTGCCTATTGAGCCGCGTCACTCAAGACTTTTTAAAAGCGAGTGATTGTTAGAACATTCCAGTCTTACGTTAGTGTTAGGATGGCAAAACTTATTGATGTATTATGTGTGTTTGTGCGTGTGTTTGTTTGTTATTGACTAATTATCTACCCTGGCAGGGAACAGTTAATTATATCCTTCCCGGCACTGAGCATAATAATTGTGCATGGATGCATATCCACCGGAAAAAAAACCATCCATGTGTACTAAATACATACAATATAATATACATGCAACATGTGCATGACTGGAATGTATATAACTTCCCTAAAAAGTCAGCACACACACACACTCACTGTCTTGTGAGAGCTTAAACAGAAAGATCAGCTATATTTTCATCCTCATCAGCTCCCAAACATTTTTTTTTCCCTCAGGGAAAACAAACTCACATAGCGGCTGAATGTGACTCCACTGACTTGAATCTGACAGCGTGCCAATGTCATCTTTACTGCCGTCATCGTTACAGTTAGCAGCAATTAACACTGTTCACTTAAAGGTTGTTTAAGTCATTTTAATCCAACACATTTCTGCTAATATCTCCTCACAGCCCTGGATCTGGGTTTGGGAAAGAAAGCCAGTTGGATGACCGGATCACCACAACAGTGTTCCAGCCAATCAGCAACAATGGTATTCATGCTCGTTTACACGATGGGGGGTGAAGGGGCAGTCGGAGCGAGGCGTATATTTAAGAAACGGAAACGGTGATTCACATTGGGTACTATCATAAACAGTATATGCTACGGATCAGCTGTTCACCTTGGCAATGTGTGTGCATAACTGTAGGGGATGGAGCTTCTGTCAAAGAATCGCTGACTCCACTGTTAAACACCAGCATACAATGTTTCTTACTCTTCTCTGTTTCAATATTACAGAATAAAGTCACACAGATTTTACTGTGAGGTCACATTAGCTTCTTTGCTGCAGTGCTAAATATGATTAAGTTCAGTTCCCTTCTGCTCAGAGGTTCGGTAATGCTCACTAACCACACAGGATGTTAAAGAAAATGAGTAAGATTTGGCTATATTATAAATAATAGATTCAGTGGGAATTTAAATAAATCTTTTATTGACCTCCTGGTGCCAAAGTTTTCCCACATCACTGCCAGTAGAAAGTTCCCCCAAAACAACGTTTTCTCCACAATTCCCTGAACCACTCTGCCCTCAATTACTGGTCTCCGGTCCAAAGCCAACGCACGGGAACAAACCAGCTCATGTCTGCTGGATGAAAGACCTGTCGTGTCGTTGGTTTGTACATGTGCTAACAGATGCCAGCCACATCTGCTGTCTGATAACAGGATCTGCTCAGTGGGATGGTCCACCACTGGCTGTGGACTGATCTGTGACATGTCTGACAACCTGCTCTGAGTGTTTGTGAATCTTTACCTTCACTGAAAGAGCTTTGAATGTTACCATCAGTGATAAAAGCATTTTGCTTGCATGGAACCACTTGACATTGCTTCTCTAGGGGAAAAATACACTTAGTTTAGAATTTCTATCTTTTTCCTAGATTGCTTTGCTGTGTGATGACTCTAGATTGACTGTAGTCCAGTCAGCTGAGCGACCAGGGCAGTAAACAAACTATACATTTTGGATGTATTTTTCAAACAGTCAAGTCTCTTTCTCCATCATAGTAAAACACAGCTTCATTGTCCTGGACTGTAGCCCTATTCAGAGTATCATGAAAAGACGAGACGCCCTTTAGATGATTCTCTCTGGCTTGACCACCCAGGCTACAGGAGCTCTGGAAACAACAGGAGCTACTGTGGAATAAAAATAAGCCTCACAATCATGTGCACATGATCTCTGTCTATAGCTGCGTTGTTCATCAAGTTCATGTATCCACAAAAATGCATGGCAACATTCATATCACACGACCAAATGTTATTTACCGCAACAGGAATCCCTCTAACAAACACTGTATTTCATAATTGACCTCTGCTGTATTTATCCTAATGGCACAAGTAGTTCCTCGCTGCTGCTGGTTTCTGTGAGGTTTATTTTCCTTCTTGGACTTGAACCAGTTATAGTTGAACCAATGCAACATGGGGGGGGGGGGCTGTTCATGTTTCCCTCATCTCCAGCTAAAGGGTCACCAAACCTTAAATACAATATAAAATGAAACATGATTGTAGTGATATCAAACCCTGTGGATGTTGGTCTTCTTCACACAGGGTTTTGTGTTTTGTTTAGAGCTGAGTGCTTATAATCTTAGAAACATGCAGTCATGCACTTACTCAATAGAGAATCCTATTATACACACTTTTTCCATTCAACAGCAATAGGCCAAATTCACAAAAAATAAAAATACCTCGTCTTTGCTTATGTAAACCCGCACATTTGATTCCAAGTCCAGTCAGGCTCTGCGTGATGCATTCAGTGGTAAAAACAAGCACACAGTAATAATCTTCTATATTTTCTGCATGAGTTGGCAGCGTGGGCAAAAGTGTGAGACTCACACTTCGCCTGGCTGATTCTTTTCGGCAGCAGACCCTCAGACTGTACCTGCCACATCCGTCTCCCGCACTTTGAAACGCAGAGGAGCAATCATTTCATCAGTTGTTAGGCAGCTGTGCCTGACCGCTTTTATTCAGATAGGTCTGCCAACCGAAGCAAAGGTTCATGGGATGGAAGGGGGAGTGAGGTGCGGAACTAAGAGAGAAAAACAACTGCTGCACAAGCCGTTATTTAAACAGTTAATTTTGAGTATGTGACACCAGGCAGTGCTGCCTCTGAATAGAAATGATGCAAATGCACAAATCCACAGTCTGGATGTCAACAGCAGTGCAGGACTAAATCAAAGTGAACATTGTACCAGGAATATAAGAAAGATAAGTGAATATCAATGCAACAAGTGCCTTTTTAATGAATGTGAAGTGCTTTTTCCTGCACTGCCTGGCAACCATGAACAAAAACACTAAACATTTGATATGTGACATATTTCCCTGTCTGAATGTCACTAAGCTCTTTTTTCCATCTCTCTGAAACGGTGTGATTACTCACTGCATGAGTCTGCGGCGAGCAGGTAGAATTTAATCTCAATGTCTGAGGCACTTTACGGAGACTTTCGAACCATTACCCATGCTCAACAATTGGCAGTGGCTGCCAAGTACCTTCAAGGGAATGTCAGTTTCCATGGAGACAAAGCGACCCCCCCACCCAGCCAATAGCCACCACCTTTCACCACGAGTAAAACATGGTAAAAAACAATTGATAGGCCCAGATGTATGTGTAATTTTCCCTCTCTTGCACTGCCTCTGCCATTTTTACTCTCAGCTTGACATCACTGTGTTAATCTATGTCTCTTTGTTCTCGGTTCAGACATCTGCCTCTGTGTTTATCCATGTTGGTAATTGCTCATTTGCAGTTCCTCTGCAGCTTCCCCTCGGACTCCGAGCTAGAGGCGTCCGTGGGAATAAATGGAAGATGTAAACATTTAAAAGAAAGTTGGAGAGAATGTAAAAGACTAAGTCAGGAGGGTAATCAGCACGGGCAGAAGATGGAACCTGCTTCACCAGTATAATCATAAGTGGCTTTCAGATATGCACTAAAGTCCAGACTTTTTCCTGAAATTTTCCAGAGGGGCTGAATGTGGGAACGCAAATGTCCAAGTCAGTTGCTCTGGACATTTTTACAATACAGCAAGAACAATTCAGGGTCATGTTTTTCGGCTGTTATAACGATGGCGGGTTACAGAGGTTTCAAGAGCTGTGTGCGATAAAATGCGAATTGCAGTTGCAATGTGCTGTAGGAAATATCCACAGTGGAATTTATATTATGTCCTGCCTCCATTATCATATAACATGTGAGACTGGAACAATCTTCTCCTGCGTTCTTCGAAAGAGAACAGCAAACTGGAAAATCTTCTGCACATTTTTTCAAAGGTCATGACTGAAAACTGTTTTAGTAACAAAAGACAAAAACAACTGCTAGTCTGTCTACTCATTCTATTCCTTCTTATTTTTAATAGTAGCTCCCAGCTCTTGCTTTATTCTCTATAGTGTAATGATGTGGATTCACCCGGCTCTTAATTCTGCTTCTAAGAGCACACTGGCACCAATAAAACAAATCACTGTGGGGCGCATTTCACTTTTCCTGCAAAACTCACTGCTTGAGCAGTTAAAATAAGTTTTATATTACTACATTGTGTGTGTTCATGGGAGTAAAATATCTTGGAATTGCCACAGCGAGTCAACGTCTGTGGCTTGGACTAACGTAGAGTAGAGTGTGAATACGTGATCAGAGCCAGTCAGGACCCAACGGGATTCAGGCAAAAATTTGTAAATAATAATCGGGTTCAGATCAGATTTGGGTTTTTGGTTTTCTTGTTCCGAGTTGGACTGCAGCCCAAGCTGCACTTGAGTGTAAAGGTAAAGATTTGCTTGTTGTTACCTTGAGCATTGTATCCAGTTATTATTATTTTTAAATTACTTGTATTCAGTGAGAGATGCCTCTTTTGTGTGGCTCACTCACATTTTGAGGAAGAGAACTTCTCAGTGGACGTGCAAGAAATGCAGCTTCAAGGTAAAACAACAATGTGACTCCCAGGGGCAAACCTCTGCTCAGCTCTCCTGCTGGTGTGCTCAGCCAGAGGAACCAGGAACACTGAGCAGCAGCAGCATTGGCGAGAACACTCCCGCAGGAGGTGGAGCGCTTCTTAAAACTATACAAACTCTAAAGACGCATCCCTGGCAAACGTTCACACATGATTTCCTGACACACACTGCTCACACCTGATTCCCCCCCCTCCTGAGTCTTAATCAAGTTGTTTGTTTCG